TTTTTTTTTTTTTTTAAATAAAACTCCTGTCCTTGTCTTACAGATATAATCATTTCTTTTCTCACTCTGAGGGTAAAGATGGGAGTTTGGGGGGTAGTTTTTCTTTTCTTTTTTTTTTTTTTTTCCTGTGCAAAGTCTGTTTCTCCCAGGTTGCTTTTTCTGGTTTGTTTGGTTTGCTATTGGGGAAAGAACTCATTTTCCCTTCTGGTAATACCTGGGGACCACAGATGAAGGCTTAACAGCCCAAATGCTCAAGGGGTTACTAGTGGGAAGCAAGGAAGGGAACACGTGGACCAGGGACAGGGAATAGTTAAAAAAATGCATTCTCCTTAGTGAAATATACTTAAAATAGTGGGGAAATTGTTCTCTTTACCAAAAAACCAAAACCAAAAACCACAACCTCATAAAGAATGATTAAGAACCCATCAAACCCATCACCCTGCCATCAGAGGCTATAGGTTTAACATAAAAGAAAATCTCACATGAATGTCAGCTTCAAATGTTTACATATGTACAAACATTCTCTTTTAAAATTTTATCCTACAGGATACCCAGAGTTAATGAGAGAAAAATGCCTCTTATGATTGTAATCCAGTTAAAAAATGAAGAAATCAGAGTATGACCAAATGAAATAACAAAATAAAATCCTTTATGAAATGACTCTAAGCAACAATCATTAATGGTTGTTATCATCACACACAAAAGAAACAGAACATTATGTATCTTCTGGTAGAAGTATGAAACTCCACATATCAAGTATTCTTGTACAAAGCTGAACCTCAATGAGATCAAACTTTCAAATGAGGAACAAATTACTTAGCTAAAGCAAATACAGGACGGAGCAACAAGTCCAACACCACCCCAAGGAAGAATGAAAGTAAAATAGAGAATGGAGAAACTCTGCCACAGTTGCAAGGAAAGCAAGAAAGAAACGGGAAACTCTCAGATTACAAGACAACTGAGAAATACATTAATTGTGCCATTTGGACCTTGTTTAGATCCCTGATCTAAACTAAAAACTGTCAAAAAAAAAAAAAAAGGTAGTTTTTGTGACAATCAGGGAAAACTGAACATGGCTTTTTGATGATTTTTTTTTAAGTATTCAGGTTGCATTTAAAAGAGAATTAATGAACTATATGAAATATCAATGAAATATACTACTATTTGGGGTTTTCTTAAAAATGCTCCACTGGAAAGGGATGGGAAGGAGCTAGAAAAATGAAACTAGATTAGTGAGGAGTTCATAATTTTTGGAGCTGGGAGACAGATATAGGCAGTTTTGCGGTACTCTTCTCTCTCCTTTTGTGTATGTTTGACATTTCCCATAATAAATGTAAAACAAAGTAAACCAAAACTTTTCAGTGTTTTAATACTCTCACTTCCAAGGTCAAGCGGTTTTCCCATGTCAGTGGGCACTTAAGTATGGTAGAAAGAACAGGCACTTGGCTCCGGGCCAACCTGGGGTAAACCTGACTCTCCCCTCCTCACCCTCCACATCCCACCCACAAGCAAGTCCTGCCGATTACCCGCCTACCCCGCATTCCAACTATGCAGCTACGGGTTCTCCTCTGGCCACTCTGATGGCCTCCTCCCTGCTCGCCCTGCTTCCTGGGGCTCCTGTCGTCCATTCCCCCACATTATCTTTGCAAAATGTGAATGAGATAAAATTATCTGATTACTTAAAAGTATCACAACTGCTTTTCACTGCACTTACAGTCTAAACTCTTTTCCATGTTCCCGTTACCCTGCTTCTAACCCGTGTCTCATCATTCTCTTCTCTCATTAGCATGGGTCCTCGATATTTCCTCACACTTGCCAGTGTCCCTGTCCATCGGGCCATTGTGCGAAACTGCCCCATTCCTAAAATGACTTCTTCCAAATCCACAAAATCCTGGCTCCTTTTCACCATCCAAGTCTTAGTTCATATGTTTCCGACTCAAACGTAACTTTCTTCACTTCTTTCCCCCACCCCATCTCATCACTGTGTTTCTTCATTTCAATCAGAAATTTTGCTTACTTCTTGGCTTAATTTTATTTGTTTGTTGGTTATGTTGTTTATTTTTGGTCTCTCTCCAGCAGCCTTGCCCAAACAATAAAAGTCTCTGGAAGAGTAAGAAGGGTGGAGCAAGACGGCAGAGGAGTAGGAGACCGGGATTTCATCTGGTCCCAGGAATTCAGCTGGATAGGGATCAAACCATTCTGAACACCTACGAACTCAACAGGAGATCGAAGAAAAGAACAGCAACAACTCTCTGAACAGAAAAGCGACCACTTTCTGGAAGGTAGGACGTGCGGAGAAGTGAATCCGAGGCGATATTCAGGGGGATAGATGGCGGGGGAGGGGGTCTCCGTTGGCCGCTTCTGGCAAGTGATAGAGCCGCGGAGCACAAAATCGGAACTTTTAGAAGTCGGCTCCACTGAGGGACGTCGCTCCAGTGGCTCAGCGGGGGGGTGGACCCCTCCCGGGACAGTGTGGTCTCAGGACCCTTGGGGTCACAGGAAGACCAGGGGTGCCTGAGTGCAGCAGAACTCCCAGGTATCAGAGTGGGGAAGCCAGCTGCAGAGACGGAGCCGAGGAGTGGGCTCTCAGCTCGGGGTTGCCATAAACTGTGATCCGGGGCCCAGTCAGGCCACTGCTCCTCCAGCAGGGACCCAACAAGCCACAGATCCGGGGAGACTCCCCTTCCTCCCCCTGGGGGGAGTGGCATGGGAGCTCACCAGAGGGATCTGCTGGGTTTGGAGACTCCACAGGGGGTTGTGTGCCAGAGATAGAAATGCTCGGTCACAGGCCGGGTGAGCACGGAGCGGGGTGGGAGACCAGGAAAACGGGAGTGATTGCTTTTCTCTGGGGGCGCACTGAGGAGTGGGGCCCCGAGTTCTCGGCTCCTCGGGGGCAGAGATTGGGAGGCCGCCATTTTCACTCTCCTCCTCCAAAGCTGTAGGGAAAGCTTGCAGGGAACAAAAGCTCCCCAAACCCGAGCGGACCACTTAGCCGGGAGCTGGCAAGGGCGGGGCAATTCCAGCTCGAGCAAAGACATTTGGGAACTATGGCAACAGGCCCCTCCCCCAGAAGATCAGCACGAACAGCCAGCCAAGACCAAGTTTACCGATCAATGAGAACGGCAGAACTCCAGAGCTAGGGGAATACGGCACATAGAATTCATGGCTTTTTCCCATGATTCTTTAGTCTTTCAAAGTTCTTTTTTTTTTTTTTACTTTTTCTTTTTGAATTTTTCTTTTTCCCTTTTTCAACCAACATCTTATCAATCCCTTTCATAAAAAATATTTTTTATTTTTCATTTTTAGAGTCATAGTCTATCCCTTCATAGTAGTTACCCTTATTTTTGGTGTGACACACACACACATATATATATATGTTGTTCTCTTTAAAATTTTGAGATACAGTTTCTTCTAACAGATCAAAATATACCCTAAATCTCTAGGGTATGGCTTTGTTCTAGTCTCCAGCCTGATCACATTCTCTCCTTTTTTTTTCTTAAATCCTCTTCTTTCTTTTTTCAACCAACTTCTTATCAATTCCTTTTATAAAATCTT